GATCGGGCCATCGTCGTCCCCCTTCCCCGCGGCCCTCGGAGTTAGCGCCCCGCGGCCCACCTCTCCGAGGATCCGAAGTGGGCCGGGGGCCGGGCGGGGGTTAGTTATTGGGACTTGGGTGACGAGGTGCCGCCGGCCCCCCCTTCCCCCGCTCCCCCAGAAGTTGTCGGCGAGACGCTGCCTTCGGTAACGGCTGGATGGGCTCACTCTTGGGTGAATAGCTGCCACGATCTTGTTCTGGGCTTTACGAGGCTTAAGTTTCAAACGACTTAAACTTGCTCGTGTATGATTGGGAAAGATTGTGGGGGCAGCATCCCCAGCGCCCCGTTGTGGGACACAGGAGCTGCCGCAGATGCGCAGGTGCTGAGGCGACGCAGGCGAACCCGACCCGCGCGGTGCCCTTTGCGTCCCCTCCCGCAGACACCGCAGCCGCCCCCTTCGCTGAGGTGTCCGGGTCGTCCGTGGACCCCGTGTCAAAGCAGGTTACCTGGAGGCAGGTCCACGTTCCTCTTTTTTGGTCACTGTATTTTCTTTTATTTGAGGGTGGGTCAAAACGTGTTTCTTATTGTTCCCACAAGTGTTCTACTCTGGAAGTATTGTTCAGTGAAAGTTTACCTTTTTTTTCTTTTTATGTGGTGGCTTTTCTAACGTCTCTCTTTCTACTCTGAAGTATATTACTCACACAACACATTTGAAAGTTAACAAAAAGTCAGATCTTAAATCTTGTGTGTAGGGGTGGTTATCGGAATTCCTCCTGTCTTCCCTTCAAGGCAGCGTGAACTTCTGGGCCTGTTTACCCTGCATGTGAGCTGACAGCACTCTCTGGGTTGCTGAGGATTCATGGTGTGCGATTCACCGAGAGGGATAATACTAGGGCAGGCAGGCAGGCAGGCCTCCACCAGAGACTGCAGAGACTAGCCTGGGTAATACACAGTTCAAACCGTTCCTCTGGCACAGGTCTTCCCACATTCTTCTGAAGTTCAGCTTGTTTTTAGGGGTGAGCTGTTGCCCCTTTTCTGTTCTTTGAACTTGGCTTAGGTGTGGGAACCAAAGAAGTGTGCAAGGGAGCTTCCCTATTGAAGAGTCCCCGTTCTCCTCACGCACAGTAACGACTCATTCGTCTTAACATGTCCTAGAGAGGCCCATTTTGGTCCAAAGGGACTGAAGAACAGTGGCACCCTGGAGGGATTGTTGGCAAAATCCAAAAAGACGACACTGATCATCACATTAGAGGACTGGAATAGTTTTGGATGGTGTTTTCAGGCTTGGCGATCCATTAGAAACCAAGGGGCCTTCAGATATAGATGCAGTCACCGACCAACTGATATCGCTCACTTTTGAGTACTCTTGTTTTTCCCTTGTATGTAGATGCTGTTGTTTATACCGTGCAAGTTCATTACAAGTGTTTTAAAATTTGTATAACTTCATGTATTTTCTTAGTTAACACTGAATATTATAAAGTTGTAAAAAAGGTTTGATGGTAAAAGGAATCTTTGTAACTGAAAAGATTGGGTATCCTGTTTAGAATTCAGGGCTTTGTGACGTGTTGCCACAGGTGGTGCTGATTACTGGTGGTATTGGACCTCTCAGAACATCACTTTTTCAGATGTCATTATTAATACTCAGGTTTAGAGAAAATATACAGCTTTATGGCTACTTTTTTTGGGGGGGTTCTCATGAGAAAGTTTCAACATATATTCCCTTCGTCAGATGTTTAAAAAGAAGCTTTCTCTTTTCCTGTTGTTAGAGGGAAGCTCAGAGCATGCTGCATTTATATTTGGGAAAGTCTCATGAGGTTCTTGAAACATTCTAGCCATTCAAGACTGGACACTGTATGTTAGTTTCAAAAATTTTAATTCCTTGACCTGTAGCCAATTTCTGGACTTGTAGCCGTGTATCAATGGCAAAGTTATTCCCAATTTCACAGAAATCTCGGCTTAATTGTAAAAATGATCACTGAATCAGATTTTGGTAGGTAGAAGTTATTCCCTTTGGTGAAGAAGGTTTGTCCTTTGGGTCATAATAGAGAATAATACCTGCTCATGTATTAGGGTCACCCCCAAACTTAAACATTAGGGGGAATACTGTGCATTTTTGGACGGCTCTGATATCTCTTAGCCCTGGTGGCAAGGATTCTTACAGGCAAGTCGGGTGTCCACTGTCCATGGTGCTGAATGCGTGCCCTCTGTTTTTTTTCATCTTCAAATTTCCTTTCCAGTGTAAGAGTGATTTTGGAGTATGTTTTAAAAATGAATTTCAGAATTCACACTATTAAAGAAAAGTAGAACAGAGGATTTTATTGAACCTGGAAGGAAGCGTGCATTTTAAAAACTCAAGCCATGTTATTGTCTCTTTTTTAAAGTGAACAATTATGCCGACTCAACAATTCCATTCCCTTGCTTAGTCTCCTCCCCAAGTGGGTATTTTCTTGCTAGCCATGCACATCAAGTAGCAAATCATTGAAGTTAAATGAGACCCTGTTTGATTAAAACCACCCTTTTAAAAATGTACCTTTGTTATAATATATACAGATATTTCTACATAAAGGCAATTTTTTTTTACCCTAAACTGGGTCGATTGTAGCATCCCTTACAGATATTTGTGTAGAGGCAATTTGTTTTTTCCTAAACTGAGTCGATTGTAGCATCACTCACACTCATTCGCATGGTGCTTTTCACCTTTCCTGGAGAGGGACGGGAGCCCTCTGAGTATGTGGTGGGGCTGTTGGGCAGTTACCAGGTATTCCTGCTGTGTTGGAGCAATATCTACTCTTCTGTAATTTTGAGATATCTTTGTAAATCATTTACATAAATCCTTTGTTTCTGTTGAAATTGCTCCGCAGGTTAGTAATAGAAAATAATGGGTGTTACTTGTGGTACAGAGATTCTTCCGCATGATAGTAAGTTGTGCATCAAACTAAGCAGTTGATTGTTGAGGTGCTTTTGTTATGAGCATTTTAACTAGTTATTTGGCTCTGTAGGTTGTATACACACTTAAGCCAGGTTACTCTTTGCATCTGTTTTGTTGAAGGAAACCCAGGATAGCTTTCTTCTGCCTCCTCCAAGCTTCAGAAATTCCTCTGAGTGCCTACTCTTTGCCAGGCCCTGTGATATGATCTGGGAACCCACAGGGGAATGAGACAGAGTTATTATCATTGAAGGACTCACTACTTTGGATCCAGGAAAAGACATGTAAACAGATGGTTACAGGGGGCCACGCTCATTGGTGCAATTAGGATACACAGAAAGCTGGATTAGTGTGTTGAAGAGGGGTGATTCATTTAGGCTGGGAATCAGAGAAGGCTTCAGAGAGGAGGTAGCTTTTGGGCTGAGCTCTGGAGGATGAATTGTAATTGTTTGGGCATAGATGAGTATAAATTGATTTGAAAAAGACAGGAAGGTTGGTGTAATGGTAGAACTGGATATGTGATGGTGCTGAGTCTGGAGGCATGGGGAGTATTATGAAAGGGTTGAGATTCCACTAGAGATGTGTGTGTAGGGGGAGAGTTGAGAAGAGGTTGTGTGGTAGACAGAATAATGGCCTTCTAAAGCTGTCTACATCCTAATCTATAGAACCTGTGAATATATTACCTGGCAAACACGATTTAAGGTAGCAAATGGAATGAAGGTTGCTAATCAGCTGATTTTAAAATAAGGATATTATTTTGGATTACCTGGATGGGCCCAAAGTAATCACAAGGGTCCTTAAATGTGGAAGAGGGAGGCAGAGGAGTCAGTGTCATAGTGATGTGAAATGAGGAAGGTTACCTGTCAGTTCTGGCTTTGAAAATAGAAGGGATTCGTAGGCCAAGAAATGCTCAAGCTCCTAAAGCTAGAAAAGGTGACAAAATTGATTCTTCTCCAGAGCCTCCAGAAAGGAACAT